GGACATTTCTAGCAATAAATTATACTAATAATTACCACCAGTGTAAAGTATAATATTTAAATATATCATTAAAAATAACTACTGAATAACATTTTTCTTACAAAAGTACTAAGAAAAAAATCATACATGTTTTTTTAGAGAGTGACAGACACACACAGCTGTGATTTTCAAAGCCCCCTGAGAGGCAAGAAGTTAGCTTTAGTTGCTTCTTGTTTAATACTATCATTTGAAAACTTAACCTTTTCCCCACTTTGCCTGCTCTATGAGAGCACTGTAGGGACACTCCAGGGGATGGAATATTATCAGCACCGCCATAAGGAAGAAAGGCCTGTGACGGCACATGCCATGATTGGGGACTACTCCAGTGAAGCAAGCAGGAAAGAACCCTGAGAAGCAGGTAAGGGTTTAGTAACCACTGCAGGATTTCAGATTAGAGACTATAAGACCAAATCTGTGCAATTAGGTAACTCTGCTGGCAGTTTGGGGAACCAACTAGTGATGGGAGGGGAAGATTGAAAAGGTGAAGAATACAGATGGAGGGCACTGCTTGATTGTGGTACAATAGGGAAATTCTAGATTAAGGTAATCACAGCTAACTGAAAAGAATGAGATGATTTTGATAACATTTAGACGGCATTTTTTTTTGTTATATTTTAAAGACTTATTTATTTATGCATACAAGAGCTGGGGTACAGGCCAGAGATGCGGGTGGGGGGGCTGGGCGGTGAGAGGATTCACCAGAGACAGAGCGGGGAACAGAACAAGCAGACTGACTGAAATACACTGCTGAGGGGAGCAGTGGGCGAGACAGGAGAGGTCTGCCTCTCTATGTGGGTTGCTCTTTGGCTGGCTGGGGATCGAACTTGTGCTGCAGAGGCTGTGGATTGCTTCAAAGTGTGGTGCTTAACCCCTTGCACCATCAGGGAGGCCCCAAGATGGCAATTATTTGAATATAGCAATAGGGGTGATGCAAGATTCTAGGATGACTTTTTTTTATATTAGGTGGTGTCATTTATTTATTTAAATTTTTTTATTTTATATATTTTTACATCATTTTTCATTTTTGCACAAATATGCATTTTCATCTTGGTTATATTCCCCATACAATTCCCACTCTTCTTATTTTGACCCTAATCCTTCCTTCCCTCCCCCCCCCCACCGTAGTAGTGTGTCTCTGGTTTATATTTGCTTGTTTTGATTTTTACTTTATTATAATTAGTCTTTTTCCTAGTCCCTTATTTAGGTTTTCTAAATTCCTGCTATGAGTGAGACCATCCGGTATTTTTCTTTTTCTTTCTGGCTTATTTTGCTGAGCATGATCCCTTCCAGCTCCATCCATGTTGCTGCAAATGGCATGAGTTTATCTTTTTTGATTGCTGAGTAATATGCCATTGTGTTTATGTACCACATCTAGGATGACTTTTGACTTGGGATTCCATCTGAATAACTGTGCCATCCACCAAAATGGAGAGAATGGAAGGAACAGCATGTCTGGGGAGAAAGATAGTGATTTCATGTCTGCACATGTGTCTGAGGTACATCTGTATATACCCAGAAGGAGGTACCCAGGAGCTAGGTGAATATGTGGATATGGAATTAAGGGTGGTCTAGGCGAAAGTTGGGATAGTTAAATTAAAAATAAACTCTCAATCTGCATAAAATGAAAGCTAAAAATGGAACCCTAAAGAGCATCAACATTTTCCTAAATATGCAGAAGTAAATAAAAAGTTGAAGAAAGTTGAATTAGGGTCACAGAGGGGAAGTGCAGTGAGAGTGGAAGTGGTCAGCAATCACACAATGCTGAAAAGCCATCAAATAAGAAGGAAATAAGGATACAGATATAGATATAGTGGGATGTCCCTGGTGACTTTTTCAAGAGAAGTTTCAGGAGAACACTGAAGTTAGGATACAGTGCTTTCAGAAATGAATAAGAAGTGAAAATGCAGAGAAAGTCAGTGTTTACTATTATTTCAATGAGAAGATGATGTATGAAAGGTGAACACAATTATGTTTATTTGACTATAAGCATACAATTAATAACAGGATGGAAAAATTTTAATAAAGTTTGTTTTATGGTGACACTGATGTAGCAAGAATTGTGGGAGGAGTTGGGAGGGTGACAAAGTAAAGGTACAAAGGTAATGTTATGGGATCCAGTGTAACTAGTGGTAGAACTAGTCTTGGACAGGGGAAAGGCTCTTTTCCCAATGAATTGAGAAGACTTATGTAAGTAGATAAATGGTTCATTGGGTGGGTGGATGGTGAGGAAAAACTGGTCAGGTTCTCTACAGAGGGCAGGGGCAGATCGCATGGATTTAAAGAGAACAGTGAAGGTTGAAAAAGGTACTGATGAAACTGGAAAAGCTGTAATGTCTCAGTAGTATAACTAGGGCCTCTTCTTTTAAAAATTAATCTCAGTCTATGTATGTGTAAATATGGGATAATGATTGTCATGTAAAGGAAATCTGATTATAGCTTTACATAAAACAGTACTTCTTGGCTTCCATGTGGGAGGATGACACTTCTAGCTCTCTCCTGAGGAAGACATGTTCTTTGCATTCTTCTAATAAAAGTGTGATGGCCTTTTAATCCCCAACACATTTGTGCAATGATTATAAGGATTTAGAATGAAAGCTCTAGTCTTAGAAAAAGTTTGTCTTCAACATTACACTAACTGACCTAATCTAAGAGTCAAATTCCAAAAATCCTAGCATAATGGCACCAACCACTACAACGTTTACATGTGACAGCATTCTATTTTAAACTATGATCTATACCAGCTTCTTAAATTGTAAGCTACACCTTTCATGTCAGATTTTCCAAAGGCTTGTATAACGAGCATCTGAAAAAAATCTCATAAATACTCCCTAGTGGGAAAACTGTACATGCTACTACCTGCTTATATATGCAGTAACTTGAATTATACATGAAATTTTCACATGAAAGCCCAGAATCAGCACTGTGTTAATTCAAGAAGTATATTAAATTTTTGGATGTATTTAGTAGCAGATCTTAAGAAAAATCTGTTCTTTAAACAGGATTTTCTTTTAAAAAATGTTAATTGGAATCTACTGTTTAAAGGAATCTACTCAGGAAAAATAAATAATTGTAATAAACATTAATCTTATAATACATTAAAAATGCAGACAAAAACTTTTTCTGTCCTGGGATACTTTCATATTTAGATCTTTTAAAGAATCTGAAAGACTGCAAAACTGTCCTATCCTATAAAACTTAAGAGTTACATTGAAAATAAAATTTATGATAAATGTCAGTTGCAGAAGTTATCACCTTTTCATTTGAATGCTTGACTTCTATTGGATAATTCTCTTCCAAGAGACCTTCTTGGGAAAAAGAGGTGACAGCCAACTCATTGCCTAATTGATTTAGGAACAGCGCCCAGGGAGACAGTCCAATTAAGTTTACAAGCTGGCAATTAGCAGGAAGCCCTCTAAATCCCTACACTGAGAGCCTGTTTACTTTAGTAAGAAGGCAAATGTGCTAGAGATAGGAAGAGAAAGCTGTGCTTTTTGTAAAGCTGTTGTGAGCAGGCCCACAGGGAGGGCTGAAGACAAGCTAGGTGTATGTGGGCAGGCAGCCTGCTATTTGACAGGTAACTGGGTAATTTAGAGAATATGAGTGAGTGTCTGAATGTGTGAACGTGTGTGCTTGTACATGCCTGTGTACATGCATGTCTTTTAACAGACATGTAAAACATTTAACATCCACTTTAATAAATGTTGTGTATGGAGACATACAACTGTTGAACATGCAGCTGGGCAAAGTAGATCTGGACTATTTTGGAATAAATGAGATTCCAAGCATTTTTTTCTTGCACAATAAGAACATTATGAATAGATTTTGTTGCATATTTATTATGTGGAAAGAACATAGCCCTCTAATTATATCTTTCAGGTTAATTATTTTCATTAGACTTATTTCATGTGTTGAATTTTAGAGGCCAGAAGATGCATTAAAATCTTAACTTTGTGCCACAGTGTCAAATCCTCTAAGAGGTTTTAAATAGTATTGACTTTCTGTGTGTTCAAGTAGCCATAATGTGCATTAATTAAAATCTGTTTTTTAAAAGCCTAAGTGAGGTTCTTTAAAGAATGTTAGACTATACAAAACTATCTAAATAATATGTATTTCAGGGCAAAACTGGTAATGCAAAACTATAAAAGGCAAACAAATCATAATACTAAAATTTTATTTTAAAGTCTCCTCGTTGAAAAGGGCATATTGTCATCTGCTACGTAACAACAATGGACCACATAGTCATGATAGTCCCTATGTAACGGCCTAGATGTGTAAGAGGCTGTACCACTTAGGATTGTGTAAGTACACTCTGTAATGTTCACACAATGATGAATTCACTCAACAATGTATTTCTTAAATCATATCCTGTCATTAAGTGACACATGATAGTACTGATAAGTCCCTTTACATATTTTCATCCACAAGGGAAACAAGATAAATAAGACATGTATCATTAGCAATTTCTGACTAAATATTTGCTTATTTCTTCTGTTAAAACATTTGCTTTACACAATTCCAATCTGGGAAGCAACCTATCCATTAAGCTAAAATAATTTTAATCCAAAAAAAATTATGTTACTAACAACCAAGAATTTTTTTTAAAGGACATACCAAGTACCTTTTTAAATATTCACATACCTATTAAATAATTTGTTTTAGTATAAGTTTATTTTGGAGAGTATCAAATGTGAAAGTTTAGGCTTTTTATTCATAACAATGGATAATTAGTGCAATTTCCAAATCCTTCAATATCTAATTCTTTCATATATAAAGTTCCTTGACATTTAGAAAATCATCATAAATTCTTCTTGAGGAAACTATATGAAATGTTTGACAGGCAAGAATATTTATGGGATAACAAATAGAAAAATCAACATTCCAAGAATAGTTACATTGCTTTAACTATATATAATGTCACCATCATAAACACTTCAAATTACTTACCAACTTCCTTGACTTACCAAGTTTAAATAAAAGAACACCCAAAGGTCCTCTGTCAAACCTGAGGAAGAGGTGGTCATAGATTTCCCCACTTTCAGGCTTCTGAGCAACACCCTGAGGAGCTATCCACTGCATTTGGACAAGACTGCTGGAGACATCAAATAATTTATTGAATTGCAGAGTCTCCCTGGGTGAGCAGTCTTCAGCCAAGAGCTGGATGTTAATAGGGGATAGAGCCATATCGAAAATTTGCAGCTCCCCTTGATTGCTGCCAACTAGCAGAATGGCACCACTTGGGTGGCAGCTTATTAATGAAGGCAACAGTTCAGCCTGGGCTAAAAGAGTCACTCTACGGTGAGTTTCATAAAGAATAATTGAAGAATCTTCGCAGCCCAGAATCAGTTTGTCTTCAGTAACATTCCTGCAGCAGCTAATGGCCTTCGATCTTAGTGGTATTCTGGTGACTGATATACACTGGATTTTGTTCCGAACACATTCGTAGATGCAGCTATCAGCCATGGGCTCTTTGTCTACACTGACGGAGTGCTCCACTGTGAACACCTGATAAGGTTGTTTGGTGCCAAAGCAAACATCCAATGGATCCCATTCTGTGCGTACAGAACTCAGAACCTGTAAAAAATGTATTAAGTATGTTCAGAGAGACCATGACTTTCTTCAGCTGTCATACATAGACTTGCATATTAATCAGGCATCTTATTGAACACCATCAGCAACATGTATGTGTAGCCATATCTATACCTATATAGATATTCTATATCTAGATATATCACAAAGAATACATATGTAGCACAGCTGTAGAAATAAAAATACAAGATTTTAACAGTTTGTTTTGGAACATCTGTAAATAATCTATAGAAAAAATATCCCATTGAATATATAAGACTAATAAGGTAGGTTTTTAGTAAAATAATATGGTTAGCAGAATATAAAAAAAATTACATATTAATTTTTCTGGGGTGAATAAAGGACTTTAAACCATTTAATCTCTTTTTTATCCACTCCTCACAGTTCTGAAATTACCAGAAATGTAATTCCAATTTGTAGACAAAGGAAAAAACTTTAGAACTCTGTTAACAGTCTTATAGAAATAAAATTTTAATCAGAAAGGATATAAGGGATTGTTAACTACAAATGAAAATAGAAACAATAATCTAATACATATAAAAATGTAATGATTTTAAAATAAAAAAATTAATACCTATTAAAGACAGACAGATATTCATCAATAAAAATGGACAGAGGTAAAATATGGCAATGAGGTACAAGGGAAGAAAACTCAGCCATTCAATTTTTCTAGGAAAATCCCAGTGTGATGGACCAAGATTATGAGATTGAAGTATTGTACCTGCATTCTCAGCAGTTTTTAAAAAGTACTTAAAGTGTACACTACTGGTTGAAGAAGTATATGGGAAAAATGTGTTAACAAATGTTGCAAGCTGGAAGACATTTTGTTAGCTGATAATTTGCAAACAAGTTTAAAACACCCAAAACAATTATGTAATTATTTCAAAATATGAAAAAGTCATCTTTTCAAAATCCAATCTTGCATCTACTAAGGCACCATTCATATTATTAATTTTATAATTATGCAGTCAGTTTTTCTTCCTCAAATGAACTTACTTTGAAGTACTAGTCAGGAGATGATCAAGTTGAGATGTAATACTAAGATAAAGAATGAAAAATATGGTGTGTAGTAAAGTGTGAAATGTTAAGTGACAATGCCCTGAAAAAAAGTACAAAGGAAAGGGAAAAATCCAAAAAGAAAAAAAAAGAGGATTTTGCCTGGCAATATTCATGTACCCTAGCAAGATGAATTTCAGCTCAAGTCTACTCCCACCTTCACTAGGTGTGGTCATCTTTCTCTACCCACTTTGTGATCCAGAATTCCCTTATTCCCTTCTCTCACTAGGATTCTTTTTTTGTTTAATTTTCCTTCTGGTTTTAACCTTATTTATTTACTAAAACATTAAATTATAGTATATTCTATTTATTTTTAATGCAAATTTACATATATTTACATCATTGTTCATTTTTGCGCAACATTTGATTTCTCCTCTCAGGTGTAGTCTCCATAGAATTCCCACCACCAACGGGTACATGAAAAAATGCTCAACATAACTTATAATCAGGGAAATGCAAATCAAACCCACAATGAGATACTACCTCACACCAGTGAGAACGGCACATATTGAAAAACTGGCAACAACAAATGTTGGCGAGGAGATAGAGAAAAAGGAACTCTCCTACACTGCTGGTGGAAATTTTATGGGGACCATACCCAAGAGGAGAAATCACTAGGTTTCTTAGTCTTAATCCAATCTTTAGGTACTCTCCAGACTTGGAAAATTCTGAGATCTAAAAATAGTTTAAAAATTCTTAAAATATATGCCAGAGGTTTCAAGAATTGGTCATCAGAATTCAAGTGGGAATGCCTGTGATAAAGAACAGGGTAAAAGTTCTAGCAAAGATACAGTGAATAGGGATGAGATGGGAAGAATAATATAGATAATTAAGAGATTATAGGGCCTCCCCGGTGGCGCAGCGGTTGAGCGCTGGGTTGCGAAGCTGCCCAGGGCCTCTGCGGCGCCGGTTCGATCCCCGGCTGCTCCCCGGCCACCGGAGGAGGGTCCCACATGGCGTGCAGACCTCTCCTGCCGCCCGCTGCTCCCCTCAGCAGTGTACTTCGGTCCTTCTGCCTGCTCTGCTCCCCGCTCTGGCTCTGGTGAATTCTCTCACCCTCCTGCGCTTCTGACTGTACCCAGTGCATGTATAAACAAAACAAACAAACAAACCAGCAAACAAATAAAGCATGCCTCTATTAAAAAAAAAAAGAGATTATAAAAAAGACTTTTATAACGTGTAGTGATGACCTGCTGGAAGTCTGAAAATATAAAATAAAAGATCTCTGCTTTAATTCTGGAGTAATAGGAAGGTGATGCAGGAAGAAAAGCATGGAAACACATGCAGTGTTAGTTAAGACAAAGGCTCTTCAAGCCTCGAAGTGGCAAATAAAGGAAGAGTGAAATACCAAAGAGAGATGGATGAGGTGGCCACTGTTTTCCTATTTTAAGAAAACTGTGTGGTAAAGACAGAAATGGCAAGAATTAAAAAATCCAAGCTAAGAAAGGGAAGGAAAGATAAAAAGGAATCCTAAAGGTCTTAGACTTATCCAATTCAAGCAAGTTGGGAGTATTAGTCCTGATAGGAAATGTGTAAGTTTAAAGCAGTCAGCTTTAAGGGTAAAGTAAGTCGGAAAAATGCACAGAGAGGTTTCATCTTTATTCTTAAAAATCCAAATTTGAAAAAACAATTGATCCATACATCATCAAAGGAAAAACAGTATAAAGGAGGAAAGGTATAAGCAGGCAATGTAACTGATGCCTCCTCTGAAAGATATTTTCAAATTGAGAAAATAGAAAGCTGGAAAGCAATTAGGAAATAGGCTCAAGATTCTAGTTTCAGGTTTAAGTAGAGAGGCACTTTTGAAATGATTACACAACATAAAAATCAGGGAAAAAAATATTTGTAGTGGCCTTTTCTGGAACTAAAAGCATTCACTAATAGTAAAAGCATTTACTAGTAGTAATCTACCCAGATTACTTAAAAAAGTCCTTGCAGCAACCAAAATTCTTATTATAAATCCACACACCCCATCTCATTTTGCAGAAATTTTTAGGAATGGGGGATAAAAAGTATACTTCATTTTTACAGTGAAACATTGAAGACACTCATAAAAGCAAAGAGAACAATATAGTAAGTAAGTGCAAAAACCAGCTTTATAAAGTTTATTTAAAGATATGAAACTGATTCAGTTGAAACCTGCTAGATCTCATTCTTCCCTACTTCCCCAGAGGCAATGCTGTCATAAATTTGGTATTCATTCCTATGCATATTATTACTGTACTAAGCTAGAAGACCCCAAACAATACATAGCATTGTTTTTAATGTTTTAAAATGATGTTTTAAAATTTGCTATACTGCATCATAATTCATCATACCATAATTCATTTTGGCTCAATTTTATTCTTTTGGCATTTAATTAAATAGCTCTAGTTGCTTCATTTGAATCTCTGCATACCATTTGACCCTCTAAATATGACACAAAATATGCTTTCAATCTCCAGTTAGTAGATATTTATTTTGAATTTTTTTCTTATTACAAACAATGTTTCTTTACTGTACGTATCTCCTTGTACACATAGACCAGTTTTTCCTAATGTAGGAGACTCACACCTTCAATTACATTAGCTGTTTCTAAGTTGCTTCCTTAGTGACTAATATACTTTCTAATAAGCATGAATGAGAGTTCCCTATTGTTCCACATCTTATCCGTCTTATTTTTAAATAGCTTTCAATGAAATCTGACATTTGTATACAGGATAAATATAAATGGTCTTCCATATTTCTCAGCTTTCACAACCATAGATTTAACCAAGCACAAACTAAAACATGCATACTATGGATGCAGTTGTACTCAACATGTACAGACTTTCTTTGTGGTCATTATTTCCTGAAGTATACATTATAACAATTAACTACATAACATTTACATCATATAAGGCATTAAGTCATCTGGAGATGATTTAAGGTATACAGAGAATGTGCATAGGTTACATGCAAATAGTATACCACTTTAGAAAAGGGATTTGAATGAACATCAACATTTTCTGGTATCTATTTGGGTAAGGTTTGGGGGTTCTTGGAATCAATTCCCCATGGATACTAGAGACAACTTTATAAATGTTTTATTAGCTTAGAAAAAACGAATATATCTACTTGGAAGTATAAATATTCTTCATCCATATTTTTTGGTATGAGAAGGTCACCAACTTGTATGTGTCTACTAATAAAACCCTTCAATTCACAGACTTACTTGTAACAACAGTCAATACAACCTATATAAAAAAGTTATTTCATGAAAAAAGCCAAATAGATCAGTGGAACAGAAAAGAACCCAGAAATAGACCCACGGATAAGCTCAGTTGACATAAATATAGTGAACGCTTCTTTGACAAAGGAGCAATGGTAGTTCAATGGAGAAAGGATAGTCTTTTAAACAAGTAGCACTGGAATAACTGGATATACATGTGCAAAAACATGACTCTAACCACAGGGCTTCACCTTTCACAAAAAGTTTGTTCAAACTAAAAGTGTCTGTTACAACCATGAATACAACATCCCCGATTCTAACAAAGTGGCAATGGTGGCACCATAGTTTTGAACCTCTCTAAATCCCTATATGAAAGACACAGTTCTACTAAAAAGAAAAACCAAAAGCCCATGGGCAACCAGACATGGATTAAAAAGTGAAAGAGGAGTGGATGTAATGAGTACATTTTCCAAATATGCAAATAAAGCACTATGGTGGTAGTACCTGATGGGCATACCCCAAAATTGCCTCAGTTAAAAATCAATTAATTTTTTAAAAAAATTACTGCTTAAAAATGAAAGGGGGAGATGTGAAAAAGATACTGGCAAAATGTTTTGGAATGTTCTTTTAATTTATATTAGTTACTGATAGTATGACTATTCTAAGACTGGTATATGTGTACTGTGGGATAAAACAAGTAACAAATTATGGGATATTATAGTTCATCCCCTGTTCCTCC